CTTAATTGAATGAATTCATGAGCAGATTTCAACACTGATGTGACAGTATAATTGTCGCAACAAATATGTATTGTAAGGTCAGTCAGTTATGCGTCATGCGTGATACACGCTTAGGCGATCAGGTAACTTTCGATACATGAATAAAAGTTTAGATTTTTATCCGCTGTCATTTCTTTCTGCTTAACCAGTTACCATCAAAATATAGAACACGGTCTAAAAAATATTTAACCATGACTGGGGGAGAAAGAATTTTTTTACCTTTCCCAAGGGTATTAGCACGTAAGTGAATGTAATGGATTCGATTGTAAGGTACTACTACTCACTAATTGGGGATTTCATGTTCAACTTGACGTCCATATTGTCTCATTTTCATCTTGTTGATGTAACCTCCATCTTCTGACTTTCTCCTATATTTTAGATAGGAGTCATGCCATTCTTCAAATTTATATTTAATTTAAATCAAAGGGAAAAATTCAGTGATGGGGTTAGCCCCACCGGGACTCCATTTGATTAAAATGAAATATATTTATTCAAGTACACTGGATAATGTAATTCAGAATATATATGATTATGGGTGGGGTATATCTCCAAAACCCTAATAGGAGTTCAATAACAAAAAGATAGGTTAAAAATTTATATAGAGAGATTTTAGAAGCGGCTTCATCTGCAGTCGTGCCTGATGGAAGATAGTCATGTTTAGCGTAGAGCTGATTGTTGCAGTAGAAACATTCGTAAGATATATAGTGATCTAATTAGCAAATGAAATTCTCACATTTTTATGCTCAGACGCTTCTGTCCACCTCGGACCTTTACATGTTTTTTCATCTTGTACTATTTCGACAAAAAGTATATATTCTATTAACCGTTGTTGCATTTCTAAAAAGAAACACAAGACTTCTTCATCATATGGTTTCCCTCTGTTTTTACAAATATTTTCGTGGCAATTGTTCAGATAAACTGTTCTTAGTATATCGACTGTATAAATTTAAGCGTGCTACTAGATTGGAAAGATGTCTCGCCACTTTGCTGTTAAACTAGCTGAATGCAACCGTCAGTTCTATTCTAATAGTTTATTTTCTCGCCCATGGAACTCCATTTGTTGCTTCTCTTCGACCTGAAATCTTAAAAAATTTAAATGCAAAATTAATTGCCATTTTCTGTCTTCCTCAATCTTATTGTCATTTTCGCATCTTACCACACGAAAGTTCCCCAACTGTTTCCTCTTTTTGTAACCCAATGCGTCCTAGTGACATTTTCGCCTTGATTGAAGTGAATTTATTAAAAAAGAAATTAGGAGTATTACTCAACTAAGAAACCTAAAAACTGATTTCATTCAAACTGTTGGAATTTCTGAGGCTTATGAGTAAAAAAATATTTAATAAATATGACACTTATAGGACATAATGAAGTGGGGGGAGGAGAGACAGAGACTGACTGAAGAGGCCGGATAGAAACGGAGAGGCCTAATAATGGAGAAATACTGATGAGAGTTACAAAGAAAACGAAATTGTAGAGATCTTTGATCCCCGATGTTTTGAAAAAAAAATACAAAGCTTATAGAAAGCCTATATTCAATATTTTTTATAAAAGAATTGGAATAACGGGTTTAAAATAAAATTATGAAATATAAAAACATTCTTAAAATACGCATTCATATTTAGTCAGGAATATATTCTTATTTTGGCTATATAGAGTTTTAATTTCATGTTTTTTAGGAATGGAGTTTTAATCTTATTCATTTTGACTAAGTTATACTAGAAATAACTTAATCATACAACGTTTGATTTAGAAAACATTGAATACTAAAATGTTGTAGGAGCCTATGGGCGTTTGTATTTAATTTTTTAATGCCATATCCCTAAAAGATGTATGCGAGCACAGCTCTCCTCAGTTTCCGTTTGGTTTGGTTTACTCCATATCCACCTCATCCACACATTCCGTTCCTTTAATATCTGAATTTCGATGACGACTTTGACAAGACAAAACGTAGTTGGGAATTCAGAGGTTCCTTTCTCTTAGGATGTTTACCACTCAAGCAGAAGCCCAATATACCGTACAACTTAACCATTATCTTTTGGGTCGAAGATATAGATTCATGTTTTACAAGAGTGAATAGAGAAGGCCAAAATTTGAAACTGGCTCCTACATTATCACGGTCATAATCACAACGATGCCAGAACATACCTATGAGTGGTACAGTAACTATAAAACTAATTTCAATTTGAATACAAAATATTCTAGTATTTTTGTTATAAATTCACAGAGTCACTAATCATTTATCAATGTATCTGAACTTCCTCTGAATTTACGTCTGCTTTCAAATGAATTGTTTATATCATTATGAAATAATTATTCTGGGTTTGATACAATGAATTTTTCGCTATTTTGATTGATTTGTCTGTTTAACGACATATCAAATCCTTATGATGCATTTTGGGAACTTTGAAATAATAAGAAATATTATTCCGCTTTCACAAGTGAATACATGGCAGATGATACTCATTTTTCGTGTATATATACACACGTTTGTGTTGACATAATTACTAGAAGCGTTGATGTTTATTTTATGTTGTAGCGTTAGTGTAGCTATATTTTGGAATAGTTTGATTTATTTTAAAAAAGAATGTTGGTTATTATATGGATGCTTGATAGTATTTTAAACGGATTTTGATGAAGTCGATGCAACCTGCGTAGTGTTGGTAATTTTTAATTTTTTTTTTATATATAAAATGTACTGTTGGTATTTTTACTATAAAAATATGTTTATTCTTTAAAAGCGTTTTTTTTTTTTGAGGTCTGTATTATTTTGGACTTTTAGAGAGGCTTTAACACAATCTACGTTGGATGAAGAAAAAAAAAAAAAAAATCTTAAACATCAAACAGTTAATGGCCTACGGCTCCGTAGCTCAGATGGTTAGAGCGCCAGTCTTGTAAACTGGAGGTCGAGATAAATCTCTCGGGCCTTTCTCTCTCTCTCTCTCTCTCTATTTATGATTGTTTTTTTTATTTTGCTTTAACACTATCTACGTTGGATGAAGGAAAAAAAAAAAAAAAAATCTTAAACAGCAAACAGTTACTAAAACGGCTCCGTAGCTCAGCTGGTTAGAGCGCCAGTCTTGTAAACTGGAGGTCGAGAGTCCGAATCTCTTTTGCCTTTCTTCTCTTTCTCTCTCTCTCTCTATTTATTTCTTCTTTTTATTTTTGCTTTAACACTATCTACGTTGGATGAAGGAAAAAAAAAAAAAATCTTAAACAGCAAACAGTTAATGGCCTGGCTCCTACGGCTCCGTAGCTCAGCTGGTTAGAAACGCCAGTCTTGTAAACTGGAGGTCGAGAGTCCGAATCTCTCCGGGCCTTTCTCTCTCTCTCTCTCTCTCTATTTATTTTTTCTTTTTATTTTGCTTTTTTTTGCTTTTATCTACGTTGGATGAAGGAAAAAAAAAAAAAAAATCTTAAACAGCAAACAGTTAATGGCCTACGGCTCCGTAGCTCAGCTGGTTAGAGCGCCAGTCTTGTAAACTGGAGGTCGAGAGTCCGAAAATCTCCGGTGCCTTTCTCTCTCTCTCTCTCTATTTATTTATTTCTTTTTTTATTTGCTTTAACACTATCTACGTTGGATGAAGGAAAAAAAAAAAAAAAAAAAATCTTAAACAGCAAACAGTTAATGGCCTACGGCTCCGTAGCTCAGCTGGTTAGAGCGCCAGTCTTGTAAACTGGAGGTCGAGAGTCCGAATCTCTCCGGTGCCTTTCTCTCTCTCTCTCTCTCTTTCTCTCTATTTATTTCTTCTTTTTATTTTGCTTTTAACACTATCTACGTTGGATGAAACAAAAAAAAAAAAAAAAAAATCTTAAACAGCAAACAGTTAATGGCCTACGGCTCCGTAGCTCAGCTGGTTAGAAAAAAAAAAGTCTTGTAAACTGGAGGTCGAGAGTCCGAATCTCTCCGGTGCCTTTCTCTCTCTCTCTCTCTCTCTCTATTTATTTCTTTTTTTTTTTGCTTTAACACTATCTACGTTGGATGAAGGAAAAAAAAAAAAAAAAAAAAAAAATCTTATGGCCTACGGCTCCAAACAGTTAATGGCTTTAAACTAGGTCGAGGCTCCGTAGCTCTCTCTGGTTAGATTTATTTCTTCTTTTTTATTTTGCTTTAAACTATCTACGTTGGATGAGGAAAAAAAAAAAAAATCCGAAACAGTTCTCCGGAGCCTTTCTCTGGTTCTCTCTCTCTGGAGGTCGAGAGTAATCTCGGAGCCTTTCTCTTCTCTTCTTTTTATTTTTTTTTTATTTTGCTTTAACTTTTCTTTTGGATGAAGGAAAAAAAATCTACGTTGGATGAAGCAAAAAAAAAAAAAAAAAAAAAAAAATGGTTAAACAACAAACAGTTAATGGCCTACGGCTTCGTAGCTCAGCTGGTTAGAGCGCCAGTCTTGTAAACTGGAGGTCGAGAGTCCGAATCTCTCCGGAACCTTTCTTTCTCTCTCTCTCTCTCTCTCTTTTATTTATTTCTCTTTTTTTTTTTTTTTTTGAAAAAACACTATCTACGTTGGATGAAAAAAAAAAAAAAAAATCTTAAACAGCAAACAGTTAATGGCCTACGGCTCCGTAGCTCAGCTGGTTAGAGCGCCAGTCTTGTAAACTGGAGGTCGAGAGTCCGAATCTCTCCGGAGCCTTTCTCTCTCTCTCTCTCTCTATTCTCTCTCTTTATTTATTTTTTTTTATTTTGCTTTAACACTATCTACGTTGGATGAAAGAAAAAAAAAAAAAAAAAATCTTAAACAGCAAACAGTTAATGGCCTACGGCTCCGTAGCTCAGCTGGTTAGAGCGCCAGTCTTGTAAACTGGAGGTCGAGAGTCCGAATCTCTCCGGTTGCCTTTCTTTCTTCTCTCTCTCTCTCTCTCTCTCTTTTTTCTTTTATTTCTTCTTTTTTATTTTGCTTTAACACTATCTACGTTGGATGAAGAAAAAAAAAAAAAAAAAAATCTTAAACAGCAAACAGTTA